CTGCGAGCTCCCCAAGAGCAAGAGAAGCCAAAGGACCCCGGGCCGCCGCCGCGCTCCCAGAAAGGGGACAGAACAAGAAAAAAAAAAAAAAAAAAAAAAAAAAAAAGAACAGAAGCACGTCCAACACCCCTCTGAAACAGGACATCGGAGGGGGGAGCTGGGTGCTGCTGGGAGAGCAATTCAGGCAGAGGGGGGCCTTGGGGAAGAAAACCTGGGGCTTCTCCTCCCCATACGCCAGGTGGTGTCTGGGCAGACCCCCCCACCGGGAGCAGGGCAGGAGCAGCTGAAGCCAGGACTTGCAAGGAGCTCTGCCTTTGCTGGGCCCCGGGCCAGCCTGGTGCGCTGGTCCCTGACTCGAGGTCCAGAAGGAAAGACCCGCACACTCCCTGCCTGCCCGGGTGTGTCCCAGCACCTGATTCTCCGCTGGGCTGCAGGTCAAGATTCAGGCTCCTTACCTCCCACCTGACCCATTGCGACCCCCACACTCATTCCCCAGCCCCTCCTGTTATCTTCCATGTTGGCTTCCAGAATAATCTTTCTAAAGGCCCCAACTCCTCAGCTGGACATTCAAGGCCTTCGTCTCCAGCTTTTCTGCCCCTGCCTCTTCTCCACGACCTCCCACCTCCAGCCCCACATGTCAGCCCCAGCCCAATGCCCAGCCTCCGTCAAGATAAGCTCTGCAGTTCTCCATATCCCCTGCTGTCTCTCACCTCCCTCCACACCTTCGCCCCTGCCATTCCCTCGGCCTGTTTCGTCCTCACTGGTCTGCCCTGACCTGGGCAAAGCCCCCTCGGCCGCTCTGACTCTGCGATCCCACTGCACTGTGTCCCCACTCTCGCTCCAGCAATTCATCCACAAACTGCCACCACCCCACCCCCAGTCTGGTCAATTCTGAGTCCACATCTGAGTCCTCCCTGTGTCCCCAGCACTGACTGGCACAGGGTCTGACACAGAGCAAGTACCGTCCGTGTGCACTGAATGCACATGTGAGCCCCTGGCCACCCCGGGCTCGGGCGGGGAGGTGAGGCACGCCCTGGAAAGGTGCCACGCAAGGGCTGCAGGTGAGGGCCCAGCCGAGCTGTGCTGGGCACTAGGACGGTGGTCTAGGAGGGGCGGGGGCATCAGGGTTGCTTCCTGCAGGAAGTGCACAGGGCCGTGAGAACTGGAGATGAAATCTCGGGAGGAGCAGGGGCAGAGTCAGGAGGAGGAAAACCTCCCAGTGGGCATAGGATCCGCCAGCGGCCTCTTTGTCACTTGACAAGAACACGGAGTGAAAGGAAGAGGAGGGGAGGGCACGCCCAGAAGTCGAGACTATCAGAGTCAGAGAAAACCCTGGGATCATAGGGTTTACCAGTGATTTGACAGCCCCTTTATAATGTCCCACGCGGTAGCTATTCCAGGGCTATTTGATTCCTATAGTGACAGGAAACTTACTAACCCTGGAAATCTATAGTTGTCAGAAGGAAGGCTA